ACTTTAACCAAGATAAATATAATCTCTTCTATTACTAATTTTGTTCATCGAAGCTTTCCCTTTAAATATTTAGGTGCTCCAATTTTTAGAGGATTAAAAAATTTTCATTTATTTGATGAAATCATTCAAAAAATGATTGATAGAATTTCCTCTTGGGAATTTCATTTTTTATCTTATGGTGGTAGATTGATTATCCTTAAAAGCATTCTTAATTCTATGGCTTTTCATTTATTCCAAGTGATTCAACCCAATGTTTCCACTGTTATAAGATTAGAGAGAATTCTTAATAAATTCTTTTGGGGTTCTAGAAATGGTATTCTTAGAATGCATTGGACTTCTTGGAGTAAGCTTTGTGGTCCTATGAATGAAGGAGGACTTGGTTGCAAATCTATCTCGGATTCTATTATTGTTTCTTCTATGAAAATGTGGTGGAATTTTAGGAAAAATGAAATTTTTTGGGCTTCCTTTATGAATTATAAATATTGCAAAGGTAAGCATCCTTTATGTTGTTATTATAAACATGGTGATTCTTTAATTTGGAAAAGACTTTGTCAAATTAAGAATGTTATGGAAACCCTTCTTTCTACTGTTTCTTATTCTGCTTTAAAAGTTAATAATTTTTTTCATAACAACACTTGGGATATGGATTATATTCTTAATTTGGTTCCTTTGGACATTGGGAATAAATTTAGAGATTTTACTTTGGATAATCAAAGTAAAGATCTTATTCTTTTTAAATTATCTTATAATGGTAATTTTGTTTTCAAAGTTGCTTGGGATTTTATTAGAAGTAAGAAAGATACTTCTATAGTTTACAATATGATTTGGAGCAATAATATTCATACTTCCTATTCAATTCTTGTTTGGAGAATAATAAGAGGTTATATTCCTGTTGATGTTGTTCTTTGGAAAAAGGGTTTCTATCTTCCTTCTAAATGCCTTTGTTGTTATCACATTGAGGATACTAATCATGTTTTTATTAATGGCCCTATTGCTACTAAAGTTTGGATATGGTTTGATAATTTCTTTAATACTAATTACTTTAGTGGGCATTTATCTTTTAATCATTTTCTTACTATTATTCTTTCTAATACTACTAGAGATCATATTAAAACTGTCACTGCTATATCTCTTATTTGGTTCTTATGGATTGATAGAAATGATGCTAAACACAGAAATATTCCTATGAACCATAATCGTATAATTGCTAGAACTAAAGAGAAGATTAATAGCCTTTATAAAGTGGATTTGATTAATTCTAAGCAATTTCGTGGTTTCAAATTTGTTGCTAACAAGTTAAATACTAATATTTTTGAAGAACTTCATGAATCTTCATTTCATTTTGTTATTTGGAAAAACCTGATGTTCATTACTTTAAAATTAACACTGATGGTTCTGTTAGAGAAGGATTGTATGGCTGTGGTGGTATCTTAAGAGATGACAAAGGTAATCTTGTTGTGGCTTTTGCTACTCCTCTTAAAAAATGTTCTGTTTTGCTTGCTGAGCTTAAGGCTATTTATGAGGCTCTTAAAATTTGTCTTACCTCTGGTTATTTTAAAATTTGGTTAGAAATTGATGCCCTGTTAGCTATTAAAGAGATTTCTGCTGATAAAAAAGGAAATTTTGATACCTTCTATATTATTAAAGATATTAAGAGAATGCTCTCTCATCTTGACTATAAAATCTCCCATATTGGAGAGAGGGTAATTCGGCTGCTGATTACTTAGCTAAAACTGGCTCTCAATTGGATCAATTTACTATTTTTCACAGTAATAACATTCCCTTTTTATTAAAGGGAATAATCAATCTTGACAAATCTGGATTACCTTATATACGTATTTGATTTGGCTATGATGTTTAGAATTTTAAATCTTTTTTGAAAGACTTTGTTTGCCATTTTTCTTTGTAATTCTATGGGCAAGGTTCTCTTTTGGTTGTTTTTTGGTTATGTTGGTATTTCTGGCGTTTGGTAAGAGCTGGAAGGTGGTTAATTTGGCACGTTGGTGATGTTTTAGTAATTATATTAGAGATGAATTGTTTGATATCTACTCATTTGGTTTGTTTGATTGGTAGATATTCTACTGTGAGTTATTATTGTGTTTGGCTGGAGGTTATTCTTTTTTACTGTGAGGGCTGGCTGTATCTCTATATTGCTCGGAAGAATATCATTGAATTTATTGATCTGGACCTTTGCAATATTTCTCATATTGAGTTTTCATCTTGCCCATGTAAAATTACATTGAAATCTTTGGTATTCATTTCTTCCTTAATAGATTTTTTATTCCTGAGCTATAATAATTTTCAAATGTGCATAAATTTTCTTAACTTTATGCTTAATTGTTACTTAAATTGCATGGAGTTTTCCTATCCAGATTTCCAGGAGATTGAAGATTTCAACTATGAGAGATGGCTGGCTAAGACTTTGAAGTTTTCTCATTTGGAGGCTTTTAAAGAATTTAATTTTTATTATCTTTTTTTTTTCAATGTATTTAGAAAGAGACTTAAGGCTCATTAGATTTTATTTTATTTTTGTATTTTCTTTTCTTTAATGTATTTTCTTTTTATTTTAGTTGAGCCTCTAGTCTCTTTTAAGTACTCTTTGTAATCGTTTTTTCTAATAAACGCGTAAGCCCCTATAGTGGGTTTTAACCAAAAAAAAAAAAAAAAAACCCTAAACCCTAAACCCCTAAACCCTAAACCCTAAACCCTAAACCGTAAACCCGAACCCCGAACCCCGAACCCCGAACCCTCAACCCTAAACCCTAAACCCTAAACCCTAAACCCTCAACCCTAAACCCTAACCCCTAAACCCTAACCCCTAAACCCTAACCCCTAAACCCTAAACCCTAAACCCTAAACCATAAACCCTAAACCCTAAAACCCTAAACCCTAAACCCTAAACCCTAAACCGTAAACCCTAAACCCTAAACCCTAAATCTTATTGAGTTTCTTTTGGAAATGCTGGAGATTTTTTGTATTAATGAGCTGTTTACTGGGTTTTTGTGTTATAATTATCAAATTACTTTGAGATTTTTGGTATTCTTCTGTTCTATAATTGAATTATTTAATTTTGAGCCTATATTTATATTATTCATATTATTATAAAAGCTTGGTATAACTTTTTTTCCTGAGTATTTTTCAGTTGTTGATGACAATTATTTGTTGGAGCAATATTTGGTTTATCAAATGCTTGAGCTGATGAAGAATATTAAAGGCTTATGTATCATGTGTGCGTATGTTTTTGGTGGTATTGAAGAATCTTTTGGAAACTTCAATTGTTGGTGTTCGCTGAGAAGTTTCAAATTAATTGAGAATGTTGTTGACTTTATAAGTTGGAATTGGCTGATAAATTTCCAAGTGCTTGAGCTTTTACAGATTTTTCAAGATTGGTGGCTTATAAGGAACTTCATTTTTATTGTCTTTCATAATTTGTATCTAGTTAGAGACTTTAGGCTCTTTAGATTTTATTTTTCTTATTGTAATTTTCTTTTCTTTTAGTTGAGCCTTTAGTCTCTTTAAGGACAATTTGTAATTGTATTTTTAAATAAACGCGTAAGCCCCTATAGTTGGTTTTAACAAAAAAAAAATCATAAACCCTAAACTCTAAACTCTAAAACCTAAACATTAAACCCTAAACCCTAAACCCTAAACCCTAAACCTTATACCCTATACCTTATATCCTTAACCCTAAACCCTAAACCCTAAACCCTAAACCCTAAACCCTAAACCCTAAACCCTCAACCCTCATCCCTCCACCCTCAACCCTCATCCCTCCACCCTCCACCCTCAACCCTAAACACTGAACCCTCAACCCTCAACCCTCAACCCCCAACCCCAACCCTCAACTCTAAACCCTCAACCCTAAACCCTCAACCCTAAACCCTAAACCCTATTAGGAATATAAATATCATTTAAGAATAATATATTTATAATTAAATATATTTATATATTTATAATTTAATATATTTAAAATAATATTATTAAAATAATAAATAAATTTATAATAATAATATTTTATATTATAATTCATATAATATATGTTATAGGAAATTATTAATACATATTGTCCAAATTTGTAGCCCAACTAAGCCTAAATTTGAAGCCTAAATAAGTTCAAATTTACATTATAAACTATTCATGCAACTTTTTAGTTCCACATCATAGAAGGAGTTTGAAGATTTTGCTTTGAATTTTTTATAAAGTGTGAAGTACACTTTTTTTGCTGAACAAATTATGTGAGTTATTTAAGATATCTTGCATATAATATGATGAAATTAATCATCATATTTAATAAAAGTATTTTAAAAGTTAAAAAATTTTAATAAACTAAAATGTAATATTTAAAATTTAATTAAAACAAAAATAAATATTTTTTCTTAAACCGATCGTTTCTTTCTAACTCCGACCGATTTAGCAGTTCCTCGGTTGAACCGCTAAACTAAAATAAATAGCTAATCAAAATATAAAATAAACCTAATAAAATAAAATAAACTAAACTAATAAAATAATAAACCAAAATAATAAAAAATAAACTAAAATAGAATTAACTAAACTAAAAATAAATAATAAACTAAACAAATAAAATAATAAACTAATAAAAAATAACTAAACTAAAACCCAAACCTAAACTAAAATAAATAAATAAAAATTATAAATAAACTAACTAAATAATAATAATAATAATAACAAAAAAATTACTAATAATAAACTAAATAAACTAATAATAATAACTAAACTAACTAATAATAATAATAAATAATAATAATAATAAACTAAAATAACTAAACTTAACTAAACTAATAACTAATAAAATAACTAAACTAAACTATTAATAAATAACTAACTTAACTAACTAATAAACTAAACTAATAATAAATAAATTAAAATAATAATAACTAATAACTAAACTAAACTAATAAATAATAATAATAAACTAAATAAATAAATTAAACTAAACTAATTATTATAATAATAAACTAATAAATACAACTAAACCTAAACCGAAAACCCAAAAACCTGACCGGAGGGGCTGGTCGAGCGTTCTCGGAGTTCTTGGAGCGTCTGCAAGCGATTTTCGTCTTCCTTGTCGGAGCGATCGGATTTTGGTAGTGAAACTGATTGGTTTTCAATTTCTTTCTCCTTCCTCCTTTCTTATTTCTTATTTTGGATTTAGTTTTGCTATGCCGTTGGGCCTTTTGGGGTTTCGACGGAGGTTTGCAATTATGAAGATCCGGCTCGGATCTTTGTAAATAGAGATAAAACTATGGATAAAGAGTATTTTTCTTGTTTCAATTACTCGATTGAACTTATGGAAGGAATTAAATCATCTTCTAAGGATGATTTTAAAGCTGATGGTACGATGGAATCGATTATTTTACCGAATATACCTAAGAAGTTTTACTTTCCCAACTCAACTCGATTTATTGCTGCAGTCTTTGGAGATCACTTACTATTTCTATATATGGGAGTTGATTAAGGGAAGCTCGTCAAACCTTTTTTTTTAATTAAAGGAGCTATTTTTCTGTGCAATTGAGCTCAGGTGGTCTCTTGGCGATTATGTTCTCTATGGTTCTGTTTTTTGATGAAACATAGGATTCCTGTCTGACATTTTTCAAATGAGGAAGCTGGGAATAAATTGTCGTTCCTCAGCTGCTTTAGAATTTCTGGCGGCATTTGCCCTTTTTATGTAGAGAGAGCATATAGGTTAGGTGAATAACAAGAACTTATTAATTCTTACCTTTATTCCTTTTTGTATGGGAGATATTGTCATCATATCATCGAGCGAGTAATCTTGGTGCAACTGAGATGGGCAGTTTGGATGTGGGATCTCTCAGTCTGTCAACATCTCTGCAAGCAAGGTATAACTTGTTGCTTGAATTGAGCACTTCTTATGATGATTAATTTCTATGCGCATGAAGTTGTGGATGCATTTTACTGTTGGATTTCCAATATCAGCATTGTTATTAGTTATAAAGCTTTAGTGTTATGCCATTGAGTGTAAGGATGTTTCTAGCGACATTATTTGGTAACATTTTTGGGTATCATGTATATTTTTGTATCAAAATAAATGCATGGGTGTTTTTGAAACATAAAAAACCATTTATGCCTCAAAGGTGACATTGTAATTCTATGTTAGAATATATTACCTAGAGAATGACATTTATCCCATTTTTTTCATTATCATGTATTTATATTAAAAGCTTGATGAGTTTCGGATTAAGCTTATGCCCAAAGAAAGGGTTCAAATTCACATAACACCAAAAGAAGAGTCAATTACAAGCTAGTAAAACCCAGCAGCATTGAACATCAAAGTCTTTAAACTGTACAATATGAAAGAAAAATAAATAAAGGCTAGCGTTACAACTCACAATACTGAGAATTATGCTGATGAGGACATACGACATTGGAGAGTTTACTAGAGAAGAGACAAGAGATCTACGACCATGATACACTACTTTATTTCTAAGATATTATTTGTATTTAATTTATTATTGTATCTTTTTCAATTTTATCCTCACTTGAGGGAATAGGGTCATGTGCCCCCAGGGGACACTTTTATCTTTTGGATTTACTATTGTATTTTGGCTATTTATAGCCCCCTCATCTTCTTTGGAGGGGATGATGAATATTATGAAAAGAAAATTATGCAATTTGTGTTTTGAGAGCTTGAGAGTTCTTGTGAGTGTTGAAATCCCTAGGTGAGGGCAACGTACTACCCATCAGCCGCAGGAATCGTCTGGGCTCATGGTCCCTCTCCTCCACAATCGTCCCTCCTTTCTCCTAGCTGCCTGACACCCTCCCTCTTCCTCCTAACCGCCGGTCCAACACCCACCTCCCCTCCTCATAGCCACCGGCCCAAAGCCTTCCCCTGCCTCCTAACCGCCGGCCTCCACCTCTCCTCCTTTCCAGCAGCTAGCCCAAAGCCCCTCCCTCCTCCTAGCCGCCGGTTTAAATTTGAAATTATTTCCTAAAATAAAGAAAGTTATTTTAGGAAAACGATCAATTCATGCTTTATTTGAATTTTAAATAGGAGTTTATTTAAATCTCCTTTCCTATTTTAAAGTTTCAAATCTAGCAATCCATAACTCCTCCCATTAAATTCTTTCCCTAAACCTAGCCGCCAGCCATACCTTTTCTCTCAACTATTATTTCCTTTCCAACTTGGGTACCCAATCTCACCAACCATCAAGGATCTGCCCCTTCTTTTTCCCTCTTTATTTTGGAGATTCAAAATTCAAATGTCTCAAATTAATTCCCCAAATTAATGCTGCCAATAAATCTCAATCCATTCGAATTGATTCTTGATTTAAATTGCATGCTACCTAAGCAAGATAATTAATTCAAATTTCCTCTAATTGCTGCCCCTATATTAATTTGGCCACTAAATCCGGAATTACTCCACCCCCTCCCTCTTCCCCTTTCCCCTTTTTTGTTTTTTTCAATTAATTGTCTCAATCAGTTTCTCCAAATAATTTTCAGATTTGGAGGATTTGAACCACACAAGATTGTTGTCCAAAAATTTCAGCAAGGCCGCCCTGTTGTCCCGCTATTCAGAAGATCTCCCTTTGCTGTCCAAAAGTTCTAGCACCCCATAGTTTGTTATCCACTCATGAATGGCCGATCTGGTGCTTGATCACTACTTCGTATTTGACCATCAAGGATTAATCGACATTCATCGATCTCTATTCTTCGATATAGATTAGAAGAATGACTTTTCCGTCGAAGAATACATGGAACGAATCCTCTTCTCCCTTGCAACCGCTATTAATCAACATCAACCTCCTATTCAATGGCAACTCTCTTCTGAATCCTGACGAAGGTGAACTCTCCTTCGAATCTTATTTCTTCTTAGTCATCCTCAATTGTGGCATCATGAAGATTATGCAAGCTTTCTCCGCCTAACCAATTATTAAGAGTGTGAGTGATGGACCTTAATAGTGACTAGTCTAACTGTCAATCTATGGATTTCTTTTGAAAACCCCCACGTGATGCAAAGCTTGATTTGAATTGGTTATTTTGTGCTCCTAACCATTATCGTGTAATCAATTGCCTAAGCTAATCATCACTTTATTGTTTTCAATCTTCCATTTAAATCGTTAGAAGTTGAATAATTGTTCTGACTCTTCATCAAGCGTGTAATTCCATAATTTAACATCAACCCACACATAAAATTCTACATCATATGCATAATCCCAATCTTCAACAAATGTATCCCAACAATAACATTCTTATTGCTTGGAAAGCTTTAGAGTCATGAGATTGAGTGTAGGATGTTTCTAGTGGCATCAATGATTGACATTTAAGCAATGGATTGCATAGAATTTATTTTTATCAAAATAAATGAATGGATATTTCTGGGGTTTGAAGTTACACAATTGAGTAATGAGGCGTATTCTTTCTGTGAGTCAAGGTGTAAGCGTAGAGGCATTTTAAGGTGTAAACCAAAATATTAAATCATTAAATTAAGAAAAAATATGAAATAATAGGTAAAATATTAACACCGAAGTAAGATATTAAACTAAAATAATAAAAAGTTAAAGTAAGGCCATTAAAAAACATACAAGGCTACAAAAATGATAATGAAATAGTCTCTCCTTGTTCTAGTTCAACATAAACAAGCAATCTTGGGTCATAATTTAGGAATTCAATATTCCTCCTCTCATCATTTAGAAAGTCTTCTTTAGAATTACTATTATAATTAATTGCTTTATTTCATATTTCATACTAAAAATTAGGAAATGAGTTTCCAATAACAAGAGGAGAGGCGATGGAGGAGAAGCAGTGAAGGTGTAACAGCAACAATGGCAGAACAATGATAGTAACGCAAGAGGATAGGGTGCAGGCGTGAGGGTCTTACGTCTACGAGTTTTGTTTGAGTATGTATAGTAATTAGGCTTAATTTAATATATAAAGTAAAAATAAAATTTAAAATTTCGCTACACACTAATTTTTGAGGTTTACGCTTTTTTAAAATTGCACTGAGTCATGCCTTTAAGTGGGCCTCACCCCCATTAAGGCTTACGCCTCATTCTTTTATTTTTTTTCAAAATTGTGTTGAGGCGGGCCTTTAATTGCACAATTTTAAATCATAGATATTTCTGAAAGTAAAAAAAAAATTATGTACGACTTAACTATGATGTTGTAGTTCTGCTAAGAAGAGGATATATCGATTAGAAAATGACATTTTAATCCATTTGTTTTTTTTTTTTATCTATTTCATGCTCCTAAAGTAAAAGCTGCACAAGTTTCAGATTAAACTTTTACCCAAAGATAGGTTCTGAGTTGATTAAGAGAACTTTCTTTTGTGCAAAATAACAGAAGAAGAATCCACTACAAGTTGTTATAGCCTAGCAACATTAAACATCATACAACCTTACTAGATGAAAGAAAAATAAAGGAAGGTTAACATTACAACCCACAAAAATGAGAGTTTTGCAGGATAGTAATTTGCAACAAAAGCGCATGCCTGCCACAACTATAACTTATCTGAGACCGAAGCAATATTGACATTAATCAAAGAGAAATTCCCTGCATGATTTTTTTTTTAATTTTTTGATGTGTCCTCTTGCTTCTTTGCAAGGATTAGCACTTTAATAATTTGGAAGTAGAGCTCTTCTCTTTTGTGTAGTAGGAGGCATATACACACCTTGGAATAGTTTAATTTGTTATTGAGTGAAAGGCTAGGTGAACCCTTCTCAATAATAAAAATTACCAATAAGAAATTAAGGTCATAGAAAGCCGCACCAAAACTAGAAAATTGATGAAAAAAATTAAAAAAAAATGCAACATAATCTTGCCGAAGTTCTAGTTGGTGAACAAATCTCCTCTATAATTTGTTAATTCTTATTGACTTTTTTTCTTTTGTCATGGATGTTCTTGCTAGACATTTGCAAGAGGATGTACCTTGTCGTATGCTTTATGGTAATGATATTCTTCTTGTTGATAAGAGTAGAGAGGGAGTTTATGAAAAACTTGAATTATGGATATCAATCTTAGTGTTTAATGGTTATCGTTTGAGTAGATCTAAAACTGAATACCTGGAGTATAATTTTAATAGTAATAGATGTAGTGGTAGGATTGTGACATTAGGTGATCTAGTCATTAAAAGAGTCCACGTTTTAGATATCTCAAGTTTATTGTTCAAAGCGATGATATAATTAATTGGGTTATTATTAGTAGAATTGAAGTTGGATGGTTGAAGTGGAGGAATGTATCAAGCCTGTTGTGTGATGGAAGAATACCTCTCAAACTTGAGGGATAATTTTATAAGATGGTGGTGAGACCTGCAATGCTTTAATTGCCAACATTCTAAGTTAAGGGTTGCAGATATGAGGATGCTTTAGATGGATGAGTGGCTTTACACTTAGAGCCAGAATGTGAAACGAGTATATATGTGAAAAGGTTGGAATAGCTTCAGTGAAAGATAAGATTAGAGAGAATTTTCTTAGATGGTTTGGTCACATAAAATGTCGACCTTTTGATAATCCTATTATAGATCCAGCTAGGGGTGTAAACGAGTCGAGTAGTGGCCTTATCGAGCTCGGCTCATCAGTTAGAACTTCGGCTCGAACTCGAGCTCGAGCTCGAGCTCGAGTTGAGCTCAAAAGACAAGCTCAAGCTCGACTCGTTGCACTGCAGGTCGACTTGTTAAGCGACTCGGGCTCGACTCGTCCGATTTTCCCTCTCATGCATTTCGAATTCCTGTTCTATCTCGTTGAGCGCACGCGTCACGAGGTTAGCTCCATCACGTCGAACGCACAAGGCATCCACTCGGTCCCAAGATTCGCTCCATTCGGTCAAGCGCACGCACTTTTGCCTCGGTTTGCACGTGCATAGGTCAAGCGAACAAGGCCCGAAG